AATGACCATAGCATCAAACCAATGACCATAGCATCAAACCAATGACCATTGCAACAAACCAATGACCATTGCAACAAACCAATGACTATAGCATCAAAGCAATGACCATGGCAACAAACCAATGACCATAGCAACAAACCAATGACTACAGTATCAAACCAATGATCATAGCAATAAACCAATGACCATAGCAACAAACCCAGGACTATAGCAACAAACCAATGACTATAGCAACAAACCAGTGACTATAGCATCAAACCAATGACCATAGCATCAAACCAATGACCATAACATCAAACCAATGACCATTGCAACAAACCAATGACCATTGCAACAAACCAATGACTATAGCATCAAAGCAATGACCATGGCAACAAACCAATGACCATAGCAACAAACCAATGACTACAGTATCAAACCAATGACCATAGCAATAAACCAATGACCATAGCAACAAACCAATGACTATAGCAACAAACCAATGACCATACATGTAGCAACAAACCAATAAATATAGCAACAAACCAATGACCATAGCAACAAACCAATAACCATAGCAACAAACGTCATACATGTATAAACAAATCCCTGTTGTCTTCATCACCAGTTTTATCCATTTTTTCAAACTTTAATATTTTAATAATTAAATTTGGATCTTAATCATCTTCAAACTTAGAATTCATATCAATCATAAAAAAAATATTCACTTTGTTTAGCATGTATAATCATTAAGATACCGTGTCTGGAACCATTTTTTATAGATATCATTAAGATTTGTTTGTAGTGCATGGTTTGAATGTCAATGACGCAAAATATTGACAGTGACTATAATATAATTACAACCTGTAATCACTAAGATTTATGTAATGACCTTTACTTGAAAATTGCAGCTATATATACATGTCCATTTAGAAATGTTTAACGACACAACTCTCTAAATTTTAATTTTTCTTTCTATTCATAGTAATTGATTTACAGCTTCTTATTTAGTAAAAGGCAAGCAGTATCACAAATGAACAGACTCTTGTACTTCCTGACTTGTAACCTTTTTTGGTAGACATTTCTCTTCATGAGTTTTTCTATGTCTTGCCTTCTACACATTCGTGGATGTATTTTTTTTGAATGGTCAAGAAATTCAGTTTCCTCTGTACTAGTGAAGTAGCAATGAAAAATGATGACGTTCACATGATTTACCCTCTTGTTTACTTCACATTGCTTTCAAATAATTCTTGTAGATGCAGTGTTGTTGTGCTTCCAGAGCCTGTTCATGTGTATGTTCTAGCTGCCCTCCACTCAAGGAATCAACAAGTACACGATTGATGTACACATTGTACCTGTTTGCTGGAATGGCCATTGCATGTGTCATGCTTTCTAAAACAGTTGAAGAAAAACTTATGCAGGTAATAAAAATAAAATGATATTTCAATAAGTGTCTGAGTGTCATAATTGCCAATCACTCCCACACTATGTGTTGATAATATAAATACAATATTGCTAGTTCATCCAAATGTCAGGTGATTCAGCCAACTAAGTGGTAACTGTTATTACCAATTACCCGTTGCGCACAATAATATGAAAGATAAAAATAATTTTGGTACAACTTTTTAGCTCCGCTGTCGACTTTGTCGAGCAGAGCTTATCATATGAGTGATTGTCCGCCGTTGTCCGTGTCAATGTTTTACTTTTTCGACTTCTTCTTGAAAACTACAAGCCTGAATGCTTTGATACTTGGTGTATATGTACCTTGGGTAGACCTCTCTCATATTTGTTCATTTTGTAATGATATCTTTAATTCTCTAATTTTGGTGAATATTTTTGTAATTTTTGGTAAAAAGTGATATTTTCGACTTCTTGTTGAAAACTGCAAGTCCAATTGCTTTGATAGTACATATATAGGTACTACATGTGGACCTCTCTCAGATTTGTTCATTTTGTAATGATATCTTTAATGCTCTAATTTTGGTGAATATTTTTGTAATTTTTGGTAAAAAGTGATATTTTCGACTTCTTGTTGAAAACCGCAAGTCCAATTGTTTTGATATTACATATATAAGTACTACATGTGGAACTCGCTCAGATTTGTTCATTTTGTAATGATATCTTTTATTTTCTAATTTTGGTGAATATTTTTGTCATTTTTGGTAAAAAGTGATATTTTCGTCTTCTTGTTAAAAACCTCAAGTCCAATTGCAAGACAGGCTGCTTGTTTCCAAATTTTCTGTATTTTTTGGGGGATTTCATTCAAATTTTTGATCAAATGAATATGATTTCCTATTGGCTACAGGTGTGCACCAAAAGTTTTCAAAAAATACTAATAAAATTGTGCATCGTTATTTTGTGAAAGATGATTCCCACAGTTGAATTTTCTGTTGTTTGATAACTTACATGGTTTTCATAAATTAATATTTATTTTGTGAAGTATTTTTTCCTCTAAATCAGTTTCCATATATACATATTTGTGTAATTAAATAGTTGTTATAAATTTGTTTTTTGAATTGTTTTTAAATTTCTGATCGCAACCTCAGTTTTGCTTAACACAAGTTGACATAAATCGGGGTACTACATTTTTATAATTTTGTAATCATATGTTATGTTTTGAAATATTTTGTAGACAATATTTTCTATATTAGTAGCATAGACGTTTATTTAAAATACAGAGATTTCTCTGTTATTAAAATAAGTCATATTTTTTAATGCTACACTATACAACAAATGATAGTATTACGAATTCTGCATATACACTATGCATTAAACTATGATATCATTGTACATTGTTTTTCATTTCTAGGTGCAGCATATTAATGATGTTTGTCAACAAATCAATGCAGGACCTCACTGTCAGTTGGTGTTTGGTTACATGTCTGTATACAGGGTCTGCTTATCTATGGCAATTTTTTTTCTAGTTTTGATGATTTTTACAATAAACGTTACAACAAGTAAATCTTTTAGAGGTGGCATTCATAATGGGTAAGTAGAAATTTGAAATATTCTTTTGAGTGTTAAGTGTTTTCAGTGTTCATTAGATGTTTTCAGTGTTCATTAGACGTTTTCAGTGTTCATTAGATGTTTTTCAGTGTTCATTAGATGTTTTCAGTGTTTATTAGATGTTTCAGTGTTCATTAGATGTTTTCAGTGTTCATTATATGTTTTCAGTGTTCATTAGATGTTTTCAGTGTTCATTAGATGTTTTCAGTGTTCATTAGATGTTTTCAGTGTTCATTAAGATGTTTTCAGTGTTCATTAGATGTTTTCAGTGTTCATTAGATGTTTCAGTTGTTCATTAGATGTTTTCAGTGTTCATTAGATGTTTTCAGTGTTCATTAGATGTTTTCAGTGTTCATTAGATGTTTTCAGTGCTCATTATATTTTCTCAGTATTCATTAGATGTTATTAGTGTTCATTAGATGTATTTAGTGCCCAATAAATATTTTCAGTGTTCATTAGATGTTTTCAGTGCTCATTATATTTTTTCAGTATTCATTAGATGTTATTAGTGTTCATTAGATGTATTTAGTGCCCAATAAATATTTTCAGTGTTCATTAGATGTTTTCAGTGTTCATTAGATGTTTCAGTGTTCATTAAATGTTTTCAGTGTTCATTAGATGTTTTCAGTGTTCATTAGATGTTTTCAGTGTTCATTAGATGTTTTCAGTGTTCATTAGATGTTTTCAGTGTTTATTAGATGTTTTCAGTGTTCATTAAATGTTTTCAGTGCTCATTATATTTTTTCAGTATTCATTAGATGTTATTAGTGTTCATTAGATGTATTTAGTGCCCAATAAATATTTTCAGTGTTCATTAGATGTTTTCAGTAGTCATTAGATGTTTTTTTGTGTTCATTGGATGTTTTCAGTAGTCATTATATTTTTTAATGTTTAATAGATGTTTTCAGTATTCATTAGATGTTTTCAGTGTTCATTAGATGTTTTCAGCATTCATTAGATGTTTTCAGTGTTCATTAGATGTTTTCAGTGTTCATTAGATGTTTTCAGTGTTTATTAGATGTTTTCAGTGTTCATTAGATGTTTTCAGTGTTCATTAGATGTTTTCAGTGTTCATTAGATGTTTTCAGTGTTCATTAGATGTTATCAGTGTTCATTAGATGTTTTCAGTGTTCATTAGATGTTTTCAGTGTTCATTAGATGTTTTCAGTGTTCATTAGATGTTTTCAGTGTTCATTAGATGTTTTCAGTGTTTATTAGATGTTTTCAGTGTTTATTAGATGTTTTCAGTGTTTATTAGATGTTTTCAGTGCTCATTAAATGTTTTCAGTGCTCATTAGATGTTATTAGTGTTCATTAGATGTATTTAGTGCCCAATAAATATTTTCAGTGTTCATTAGATGTTTTCAGTGTTCATTAAATGTTTTCAGTGTTCATTCGATGTTTTCAGTGTTCATTAGATGTTTTTAGTATTCATTAAATGTTTTCAGTGTTCATTAGATGTTTTCAGTAGTCATTAGATGTTTTTTGTGTTCATTAGATATTTTCAGTAGTCATTAGATGTTTTTAATGTTTAATAGATGTTTTCAGTATTCATTAGATGTTTTTAATGTTCAATAGATGTTTTCAATGTTCATTAGATGTTTTCACTGTTCATTAAATGTTTGAATAATTACTGGCCATACCTTTTGGAAGAGACTTTGAATATTGGGACTTGTAGATTTGTCATCTGTATCTCAGACATGTTTATGGTTAATGTCGACTGAGCTGATTCAGTACATAAAATGTCTCATATACCATTACTTTGTTTTGCAATTAGACCAATGTTGTTCCAATTTGTTTTACACATGTCCTATGTAGTATAGCATTTATTTTTCCAAAATGGACACTTATATGTAAGACAAGAGACGATTCAATTTATTTTTTCTTTATACATATGACTTGTCTACTTTCTACCCGCCAACCCATAATGGGCGAAAGCCGAGTACATATATGGAGCACAAAGTGTGCTTGAGTCCATTATGGGTTGTCGGGGAGTTCATTATTGTTATTATTTTGTAGCGTTGTCATTACCAGTGGATTTGCTGCCTCTAAAAAATGGAAAAAATTGGAGAAAAATCTGCAATGAACGGGATAGTTTCAAAGTCACTGGCCCGTGAATCTGAATAATTTAAAATGTCTTTCTGGAAATTGTTTCCACACTCTCATGTGGCTAACTAAGAAAGAAACTAGTTTTAATCCATCAAATATTATGGTATTTAACTCATTCACATTGCGAGTGAATTTACCTCACTTCATCAACACGGTAGACGAACTAATCAGGAGACCACCAGAACAGCAGCATCAGTCGCGGAATCTAGAAGCGTGCGTACTAGATGGAACGCTTCGCCCGAATGCGCATTAGCATACAGAGCAGACGACGATGCCTTCACAATATTGTCTGATTTCGATATTGAAATCCGCTGTTATTGGTTATGGACCGTTTTATTTGATGTCGATTTTGGTATTAAATACTTGA